ATATCGTGTTTTGAGATGGTCCACACTTTGATATTAGCTCTTGGCGGTCACTGGGTCTGACGCACAGGACACTTTTTGACATTTCTGGAAAAACGAGTAAAGTTAACAATAAGATGATTATCTCAAAATAAACTACGGGTACCCTGATGTTATATTTCTATCAACCCACCCTCATATGACTTAAAAGATGAGCCTGTTTGTTACTTCATGCGAGCTACTTTGTTTTAACCCGCTTCATACTCCAGATGCCTTTTTTTCTTTTCTTTTTTTTCTTTTCAGACAGACTCAGAGTTAGCTTTGTGCGCACGTTTGATGAAAAGACCAAAAGACTGCAGCAGATGGGGACAGACTCTCGCTGACGTATCTGCTTGGCACATTTTCAGCTTTGCTTCTCACTCTTAAGACTTGCTGGGGCAGTGCTGCTGCACAGCAGACACATCATGTCAGCCTGTCAGCTGAAATATATATACACACACGCACACACACACACAAAACTTTCCCTTTCTCTTTTGCGATCGCCGACAGATCTAAGCTACAATAAATTGACAGCTCTCTTCTAGGTCTAATAATTCGCCTCCATACAGATATGACAGTCAGCACTCTAAGTACTCTGTGTGGATGAATGCACTCAGGATCTCAGAGGACAGATTGGATATGAAGCTGAGTGGTGACAGTGAGGCTACTAAAATGAAAGTTTCATTATAGCTAATATGGGATTCAGCAATTTAAAACTGTTTAGACTCATTTGTTGATTTGGGGCAGAAGAAGTTGTACCATTTTTTTTTTTCTTTTTTATTTGTTGGGAAGTCTCACCACAAGACAAGACCAATGAGAAAACCGGGGAACTTTTAGACTAAAGTGGCAGTAGTATGAGCTGAGAAAGAGAAGGGTGACGATGAGAGGAAGACTCCTGTCCTGTCAAATCAGCAGCAACTCTGCGCTCAAATCACAGGAGGTATGTGCACCGAAATAATAAATAAATAATGAGAATATGTTTGAGAGGACGTGACATAGCCAATCCACCACCTGTAATTCTAATACATTGCTACATTTCATTAATGTTTCCCATCTGAGATGAAATTTGTGGGGTTTTTTTTGTTTGTTTGTTTGTTTTGTTTGTTTTAATGAGTTAATTTGTCTCTACTGTGCAGTGTTTTTATTTAGTACTTCAATACCAAGGTCTCTTTTTTGATATGTCTACTTTTCCGCCTAAACCAAGGGCAAATGTTTAGCAAATGTTTACGGTTTGTTTGGTTATTTGTTTATGTTTTAGGATATTTTGCATTTATTTGATAGTGACAGCATTTAAGGATTTTATAAAGCACAAATGGAAAATGCACATAAAACAGGTAAACAGAATTGTACCTAATGAAGATAATGACAGTGTGGTCATAAACAGTAGAAACTCCGTACTCAAATCACAAACCACACAATCCATAAATCTAGTTACAATCCCAACACGCCCGGCGGCAAAAACTGAGAACAAACTGGGTCTGGATCTTCCTTTGCGGCAGCACTGTGTATACGGTACATGCACAGGACAAGGACATCAAATAGGAGTCCTCAGAGAGCTTGGCTTCAAGGTAATGAAATCAATAGGAGAGGAGAGTCACTCCAGTGACTTGTCCACTCCCACCGGTTTATCCATCTGAGAAACTGTTTGCTTACACAAGCAGATCGCTGAGCAGATCCCAATAAACGAAAATGGCAAAGCCTATTTCACCCACACATACAGTACACATCACCATTTATCTGTTAAATAAATGCCATTAACCCTGGGTTCAAATCTAAAACAATTGTCAAGCACCAAGACGCTCCAAGGTCAAATCCTTACAAACATTATTCAGCTTTCTCCCGTGTCAAAAGCTGCAGCATGTCATCGCCTGGCATAGCAACAACAAGGCTGTGTTACAGATGTATTACTGTCACAACAAAAACAAGGAGCCACTCTCATAAAGCTGTGTTGTGAGCAGTCAGTCAGTCAGTCAGTCAGTCAGTCAGTAAGGGAGCAGCAGGTATTTTATGTCACGTTGTAGAGAGGCCAGATAAGGGGGAGGGGATGAACAAAGAATAAGAAAACTTTCTGTTATTCATGTGTCATAAAGAGAGAGAGCTGTGCTGCAGTGACTGAGCTGAGCTGCTGAGTGATAAACAAGGGATGTAGGTTTAATGGATTTAAGAGTGAAGTGAATCTGAGTGTTGGCTGTAACTCAATCACATCACCCACTTCATTCTCCAAAAATCTTATGGCGCTTTCTTCCACAGCTGGAACAGCTGTCCTGCTGGCCACTACTGAATTGTGGACGTAGCGGTCACAGAGCTGTTGAAGCATCATTTCAACCACATTGTGTCTGGCATTATGAGGGAAAACAACCTTTGCTTTTTAATTTGACATTATAGATTCTGTATTATTATATATTCCGCATATGCACATATAGCTACAGCACGTCAGACCTTCAATAAATTGGATGAGTTACCAGTTCTGAAATACCTTGATTGTTATTTTTACATTACATTACACCATTTCATCAATTGTGTCAGTGACAGATGATTTTATAGTATAAATATAACTTAGTATGATATACACTATTTGTAGAATCTGTCTTCACTGAATCATCACTAGAATTATAAAGATAGCGGTCCAACACATTAGGAATCCCCATTATCAATTGATCTGAATATGATATAGTTTATAGAATAGTTTCATATATAGATGTCTGAAGACATGTTACAGGTTTATCATACCTTCATGTTTTGCTGGAAAGTTTTTAATTTCATATTTAGGGTTCAGTGATTTAAGATAATCAACATGACTTTTGTTTAATTAAGGCTACTTGCTGGAAATTGCTAAATTTCAATATTAATAACAAGAAAACCAGCATTTACTGTTGAGACTAGATTCCAATGACAAAATCCAATAAGAAGTAATTATCCAATAATGAAAATAAAATGTATAAAATGTATCTACAGGGAAATAAACCGAAGGAGAAACAAGTAAATAATAAAGTGTCATAAACATGATATAATCATGAGAAGTATCTGGAAGAACACAGCTTATTAAATGTAAACTTGCTTTTACTAAATAAAGATGAATCTATTTTTTTTCTCAGACAGAACTAAAATCTTTACAAGAGCTTAAATTTGATGAATGTATTTTATTGCCAGTTAAACCCCCCCTCAACTCTAAGTTATTGAATTCTGGTTTACAAGAATCCTCAATAACAAAATTACATATTGACTTCACGGGTTTCTGAATGATAAACGATGCTGCCGGTCTTTACTGTATGTGAACTGCATGTCTGCTGATTCACTGGTAAATATAAAGGTGCATGAAAAAGTTCACATTACACACACGCGCACACACACACACACACACACACACACACACACACATTCACATACACGCCCACACACACACACACACACACACACACACACACACACACACACACACACACACACACACACACACTTAAATACAAAAACACACACACAGTGGCAGCAGCTGCTGTCTGGAGAGCTGCAGCTCATTACCATGGTACCTGAGGCTTAAAGCAGAACTAGGGGTTTCCCTGTGAGAGAATGAGGGCGAGACATGGTTGCGAAAACATCCAACCAGGCATAGACTGCTTCACTTTTACATGATCAAGGTTTCAGCAACTGTGCTTTTTCTTTTTACTCCCTCCTTAATTTCTTCATTAAACACCACAATGCTACATCACAAATCCAATTAAGTCTTAGAGGAAAACGCAGGTTCCCAGATGAAAAACAGGTCTTCTGCTGCACAAACAGTGTTAACTACTAACTAGCCGGTGACAGATGGATGAAAAACTGAGAGGAGATCAGGCAAACAAGCTACTAGAGAGAGGGGGTGTGGGTGGTGGGGGCAAGCAAGCAGATGGAATCTTCTTCCCCGCACAAAGAAAAGAGCTGTGAGGACTCAGGGAAATTGAGACGACAGAAGGTGAATGGACTTGTAATGAAACTCTCAAGTTTGATAATGCACGACGAGCTGCACTCTATGGAGACGCCGAGCAACGCACACATGCACTAGAGAGAATTACAGACACAGGTGTGCGTGCGTGCGGGCTGGCGAGTCTCCTGAACACATCCATTGCCGTCTCTCTTGCACACCGCAGCTGCAGGAGCCGTGAGGAGAAAGTGCACAGTGTACATTTTTGGATTTAATTCTTCTGCTCCTGGCAAATGAAGTGAGTAACGCAAGGTTTGATGTGCATATGGTCTCCAAGGATGTGAGGTCACTGACAAAACTGAAGATGAGATAAAGAGATGATGCATGAACCTGCCAGATGTAGCCAAAACTAGAACTGTACTTTCTCCACTGCAACCTTCCCGCCTCCCTCTGCTCTCTCTCACTCTCTCTCTCTCTCTCTCTCTCTCCCATGCTCCCTCCCCCTCTCGCTTAATCTCTCTCTTTTCTCTCTCTCTCTCTGTCTGTCCGTCTCACTCTCTCTCTCTCTCTCTCTCTCCCTCTCTCCCTCTCTGCACACACACACTCAGATGCACACACGCAGAAAAGAGGAGAAAGCCAGAGAGGAGAACCACGGCGGCACGATGGGGATATTCTGCCTGCGTGGGCTCTGTCGCTGAGGCGTCCGGAGTTCAGCCACAGAGTGTGTGTGTGTGTATGTGTGTGTGTGTGTGTGCGTGCGTGCCTGCGCGTGAGAGAGTGTGTGCGTGTGTATGCATGTGTGTGTGTGTGTGTGAGTGAGTGAGTGAGTGAGTGAGTGAGTGAGAGCCCCTGCCGACGCCGTGCGGAGAAAGGGGAACGGAGGAGAGCGGGTGGAGAGGAGGAAAAAGAGAGGGGGAGTGTTGACTCTGACTGGGGCTTAGAGGAACCTCACGCCACTGGATCAGAGGACGCAGATGTGCAACAACTACTCCAACTACCGCTGCTCCTGCTTTGCCTGCGTGCCACTGCCTGCCTGCCCTCTTAACTTCTGCCATGGCATAGCCTCCTCTTCCAGCTCGCCTCTAATCCGCTAAGGAAACGGGCATGCATGGGCACAACCAGGGATCTAGGCTATCGCATCCTTTACGTCAGTAATTCACAGTCTGAGGTGAGTCGCTCCTCTCTGCTCTTGTTCTCTCCTCTATTTCACCTCTCAGTCTGCAACTGCAAGAGGGAAAGTCTGTTCAAATAACCTCTGTTGGGGGAAATCCGAGGGATCTGCTCGCTCTGTGGGACTGAGCCTGGGATAAGCCACAGGGAATGTTTTCACTGAAGATTTTCCCTTTTAGTCGGCTGATCAAATATCAAATACGTGTGGCAGATGAAAGGAGGTAAATCTCAGATTGATTTTATGCTTAGTTTCCCCTGCCGGGGTGAAGTGGTTAAGAGAGATTTCAGGCAGTGGTTGTGGAATGTGCTGATGTTTGAGTTTAAGAGACGATTCAGTCAGTTCAGAAAACTTTAAAATGTGGAAAATGTTCATATCACAGGTAAATATGATGGAGAAAAAAAAAGTCACTACCCCTGCTGGCTGACATTTGTTACATCTGGCAGGTCAGTTTTCTACGTTGGAGAGGATTTTGAGTCGAATTTAACCAGACTGGCTCGGCATACATTGCTAAAACTGTGCTTGCGTACGAGGGCTTGCATGATGCTGCATTTCCTCTCAGTTTTGCAGCTGAGTGAGCGTTACATAAAAAAAAACACACTGATACCTGAACCAAAAGAATTGTGGAGAATTGTTGCATGAAGCTGTTGTCCCATATATGGAGGCAGGTAGCTTGCAGCACTGAGGAATATGTAATGAGAGCTGGGCATCAGACAGCTGGCTGCATCTGATGAAGGACCTTAACTAAAGACTAATGTAGATTAATGGACTGGGTGAACTCACCATCTTCTTACAGACTGTGTGTGCGTGTGTGCGTGTGCGTGTGTGGAAGAGAGAGAGAGAGAGAATGAGTTGCACAGGACCCTCACATCTCGACTGTCCTTCAGTTGCCACACAAAACGCACGTCACTCCCACTCATCCCCCACAAACCCCCTGCCATCACTCTCTGTCTCCCCCCTTCAACCCTATCGCATATCAACGCTCTGATACAATCTCCCCTCTGCTCCATTTCACTTTCTGCAGACACTGAGGAGAGGACTGATGGAAACAGATGAAGATAGATACAGACAGAGGAAGAGATATAGAGCAAGGGGAAAAGAGATTGTCTGCGAGAAATAATAGAGAGAGTAAGACAGGAGAGGATATTGAATTTTCCTTTTATTCTTACAATTGAAGGGTTTAATGTGCTGACACTCAAGAGTGACATGAAAAGTACAAACCTGCAGTCACGGCCTTAGTTAAATAATGTAAATACAATTGTATAAAATAATTGGGTGGGGAGGAAAGTAGGACGCTGCTCAAGATGCCTGTCGCCCTTCAACCTTCATGCCGCCTCTGTGAGAACTGGGCACAGCAGGTCCAGGAGCGATGGGTGTGATGGCCCAACACTTCAAAGCTAATCTGTATTTTTAGGATTCACTGGTACCAGTCTGGACTTTACCCAGTAATTCTCCAGAGAGAAGGCAGAGGAAGCCTTGACTCTTTTGCCAGATAAGCACACACAAGAAAGAAGTGCGTGCACGCCACTGCTGAGAGGTGAGGATGGAAAGGAAGGTAGAACAAAGCAACAACAAAGCTTTACGCACAAAGATGGCAGGCACACAACAGAGAGTACTGGCAGGGAGATATGTTATAGAGGTGCCCTGCACAAATTGCCTTTTGGGGAACTTTTTTTTTAAACATTTTTTTTATTTGCTTTGCATGACACCTGCCTCGACAAACCAGGCGAAATGTGGCAGACGCTGCGAGGGTGGGAAGGAGCGAGGGAGAGCGCAGGGTTTCCAAACGAGTGGTAAAGTGTGCACTTGCCTCCCCGTGGCCTCTCTCGCTGGGAGGGGTACTCATTCATCCAGAAAACAAATTACTCTCCTATAAAAGAATGACTGCTTTTGGAACAAGCCAGATGTTACCTTTCATGTGCTAATAGGATTATTCATTAAGAGTCAGATTTTTTTTTTTTTTTTTACCCTGGGAGCGACGCAACAACGCCACGCAGCTGAGGTGAATCTCATGCGTCTGTTTTTTTCTCTTTTTGAAGAGGAGAAAGTGTTGTGAGTCGGTTGCTCACAGAAGAAGACGCTTTGCACCTGATCCCACCTGGGTGTTGTCACCAGTGTGCGCTGGTGTATGTGTGTGTAAAGCGTGTGTTCCCCATTGCTCTGCAGTAGGGGCCCAGTCAGCTGGGGTTCCAACAGGCCCAGAGGCAGAAGAACAGAGGACGGGAGTTGACTGTGGTACAGAGAAAAAGTGGAGTCTATGTATCTATATGTTTCATGACTTTCAGGGCTGAAATGAACAATTCTTTCCATTAAAAATTCATCTATTTATTGTTTCTTCAATTAATAGAGAGAGAAATGCCCGACACAATTTCCCAGAGCCTGAGACAACCAGATATTCAATTTCCAGTTACATAAAAGAAAATAAAGCAACATATTTTTACGTTTGAACAAACATTTTGCATTTTTGTTCCATGAATGACAATTTATGAAAGTGTTTTCAAACAAGTTTCTGTGCATCCGCTACCCGCTGAAGCACTAATTACTTGTGGCTTGAGGATCTCGCAAAGAACATTGTGACAATTTCTGTTATACAGATTATTGATCTCTGCAGGCAGGGGTCAGAGGGCAGGGGGAGCGGTCATGCAAGCTGGTGGGCTTAATGTGAATTCAGACCATTAACTCTGTGCTCTCTGCCGTGTTGAGAAAAATGAGTATGAACACAAATGTCATCGTTTTTGTTGAGTTGTTGTGGGAGGGTGGGGACTGTCCTGCAAACCATCACTTTAAACAGGTACCCAAACTGTTACCCAACGAATCTTTCAGGGAGAGATTGCTAGCTAAAAGCCTCAAATGTATTCTTGATTTTATGTACAACTAAAGACTAAATGGAACTTGACCTGCTCATTATGTCTGGAGAGTCCTGCACAGCGAGGAAGGTCTTTACAAAACAGTTAAAAATAGGAATTCATAGAATTATAGGGTTTTTGTTCACTGCAAATTGGCTTTCTAAAGCCTCTACCTTCACTATATGGCCTTCATGAGATTTAGCTGAGCTGCCCAAATAATACATCTTACCAACCATGCCATTTCTCCCACCCCCCCCACACACCCCTTCTCCATGGCTTCATCTTCCCTATTCATTTGTATCTCTCTCTATTTTGCTCACATTCAGTTCTGCTCCATCCAAGCACAGTGAAACTCGGCATTCTTTCACCTTGCACCTGTTTATTCTAGTCTTTTCCTCCTCTTTTCCATCCTTTCCTCGTGCAGTTGGGTATGTGTGTGTGCACGTGAGTGTGCATGTGTGTGCATGTGTGCATGTGTGTGTGTGTTTTTTTCTTTGCTAGGGATGACTAGGAGGAATCTGAGAGCAGCAGGGGAGTTCTCTAGTTACCCATCAGCTTTGAAACCACAGTGTCTGGAAGGCAAAGAGAGAGGGGGAGAAGACAGAAAGTCACAAAGAGAAAGAAAGCAACAAAAAGGGGAAGTGAATGAGAAGAAAAATGAGGATCAGAAAGAAGAGAGATATAATGTTGTGCAGAAAGACAAAGAGCAAAGGAAAGGAAAGAGTGATCTGATGCATTCTGATTAGAGCAGGCAGCCTCTGCAGCATACATCCTTTCCTGAGGTCTGATCTACATCTAGCCGATAGGTCCACTGATGTATGGATTACAGGCTTCCTGTGAATTCATCAAGCTCTCAAGAACCCACCTGGGTGCAGGTGTAGCACACGAAGCAAACTAAGTACGGCGGGTAAGGCACTAACAAAGAAAACTAGTACAATTCAGTGGGGACCAATTGAGTAAAAAATAATAAGGCTCCACTGTCCGTAGGCTACAATTCAATGATAAAGATGCTCTCCATGAAAACATCTTTAGACTGACATATAGTATACTGTGTTTTTTCATGAAAGCAATTCCAAGTATTACACACAGTAGGGGTGGAAAAAAATTACTCATGACATGTACAGCACATATTCAAAGTGTTGGGAGGCTGAATGAAAGGCTGTTAGTCTGTTTTAAGTCCATGCACTTTCTCCCTCACAGACACATTCTATTTTATGTGAGCTTCAAGTGCACAACTGGTGGCAATGAAAGTATAAAACGCACACATGGCTTTTCAATAAATGTGGTGCATATGGTAGAAACTTAACATATAAGGATATTCTGAGTGCTGTGGATTAACAGCAAATCTGGATTGATCCCAGTGACAGCATCAGACGTCTGACATCAATACAAACGCTGACTTTATGTTAATAGTCATTTCTCGCAATGATGCAGAATATATTGAACAAATTTATAGTGTTTCAACAGGTTGCTATAGAATCACAATGGTATTAAGGGATTGTAACTAGGATTAAAATGTGACCGGGTAAAACAAATTACCCTCTCCTCTGATTGCAATTAGGAAATTTCATTCTGCATTCTCGACAAATAATATGTACCCGCTGTTATTTAGCCATTACTGCAATACTACGTGATAATTCAGGGCAAAATCTTCAAAATGGTGCTTGGCAACAGAGCAGTGGGCCATGATGACTGAGCAACAATTACTAGAAAGACAATCCTTTAAAAATCCTGCGATTTCCAGTGCCAGTCCATCTTACAGCACTAAGCTACCATTAACTGACAAAGGATTTGCTGCGTTTGGTGTCGGACTAATGCACTGTACTGCTGTTATCCCTCAACACTGACCTGTACAGTCAATCACTCGGCTATATATACCCTCTTCATCACACCCAAGCTCGCTCGCTCGCGCACTGCAGCACAGAGACAGACAGAAAATTAAAAAAATAAAAACCCACACTGTCAAATGACCTCACCAACACGATCTAAAGTAAACTACGACCGTGCATATCTTTTTACTGCATAATCAGCGTGCGCTTAAGAGACAGATCAAAGACTTTTCAAAACATTACTAAGCCCCGTGTAATTATGAGCGGAAGCTGACGCAGGAGAGAAAGGAAGAGAACCAAACATAAATAGATAAAGCTGGATTACAGTAGAGTTTGGAACTTCCATGACTGTGATGTTGATACTGCCACACTTTGTTTGTTCAAGCAGCATCTGGGACCACGCTGAACTGTGATGATGTAAAACTGCAGCGAACGCAAAGCAGGAATTTTCCTGTTGATCAGGTAGACTTGAAGCCAACTTTGTCTTAAATCAAAAAACTCAATGCTGGCTATATAACACTTCCCTGTGATTTTTATTATGCAAAAAACACAGGAGTGCCACAGTTGGGAAATTGGAGGGCACATACACCACATTACCAAAATTAGAGCCAAAAATTACTCCCATATGCGATTGTTGAACATCCCATTACGAAACTGTGGGCATTAATCTGCTCCTATAACCCCCCTCCACTTTTTTCTGGGAAGGCTTTGCACAATAGGTTGGAACCTGGCTGCAGGGATTTGATTCCATTCAACCACAAGAGCATTAGTGAGGTCAGTGACCGGTGTTGGGTGATGAGGTCTGGCTCGCAGTCGGTGTTCCAGTTCATCCCAAAGGTGTCGGATTGGGGTTGAGGTCAGGGCTCAGCGCAGGGCCGGTCGAGTTCACACCGAACTTTATTTGTGCACAGGGCATTGTTATCAGGGCATTATCAAGCTGAAAGAGGAAAAGGCCTTCCCCAAACCATTGCCACAAAGTTGTAGGCACAGTCTAAAATAACACTGTATTCTGTAGCATTAAGATTTCCCTCAATTCGAACTAAGAGGCCAAAAAGCCCCAGACAGGCTATTTGTTCTAAGCCGTCAGTCAAACAGCTATAACATACAGTGAGAATGACTTAGGGGAAAACATTTCAACAATGTAAAAGAAGTATAGAGGATAATGGAAAAGCTTAATGAAACACCCTGTTAAACGCTTGAACAAGAAAGGCTGTTTACGCTGTTGTTGCTAATTGACATGTATAGCCATATTTCCCGGGTTTAATCAATTCACCTGTTTTGTGATGCATGCTATATTAATGAATTTTCCCTTCGGTGGAGCAGAAGCGATAAAACAAAATTAGTCAGGCTCAAAGTTACGGTAAACATTCAATCCCCGGTTGAATCAGGACACTAAAATTTCCACCTTTAAAGATTTTACCCCCGGCAACCAAAAGTTCAATTAGGCAACTGCCGATCACAAAACAGCTGAGTCATAGGCAGTTCAAAAATAATGCAAGTAATGGGGACCCCACTTTTAAATTCAAGGTGCGTTGCATTAAATGAGCACGTGCTGAGAATAAGGACCATTTCCATTAAAGAATAATGAATTACATTACTGTAGTAACCTGGACTCGTCCTTGCGAGCGCTTGAGGGCTTCAAAGATGGCCGAATTAGCAGGGAAACTCTTCCCAAGAACCAGCCACACTCAACAGATTCTCATCGTGGACAGAAAGCAGTTGCGTCCCTAGAAATAACCCAAATAATAACCCATAGTGCCGGCATGACAGCTGTGTGAGCTGTGCTGCTAAAACAAGGTCAGATGTGAACATGTCTGATGTGTTTTGCCATGCGCACATGACCCTGTGAGATCTGTTTTTTGTCTGTCCTACTGGGTAGAAAATAATGGGTCAGTTCACTTCAATTACTTGCCCTGAATTGAAAAAAAAAAAAAAAGGATCAGGGCCACCCTAAAAAGGGGCAGTTGTCACAGCCTTGCGTGATGAGTCATGCTGTTTATGCAAGAGGCCAGGGGTGGTGTTCCAGCCGGAGGTTGAGATACAAGTACTGCTACAGTTGCCCGGGCCTGAACCCAATGGGTAACAAATCAGATATGTGGAGCCTGGGACACACCATTCAGCCTGCAGTGCTGGCATGTCAAAAGGGATCAAATTTAAATCAGGACATGATACAATACCATGAAAAATGTATGCATTGTGGAGCCTGAGTGCGGAGAAGTCAGAGTTAAAAAATAATGAGAAAACACAGTTGCTGTTTGTGCTGACAAACTACATTCATGTCTCAATATCTGATGCTTTGGAACAGGGTGGCATCTTGAATTGTAATCAGATATAATTTTGCACAAATTGAATATAATGTTTAAGTTGGGCCCCTACTGCAAGGGATAGAGGGTGATGTCTTGTTCAAAATGTCATCCTTTGAACAAACATGGAGAGGACACTGACAGTGATGGACCACGAGAGCACAGCCAAGCTGGTGAATAGATAATAGTCTTGGAACAAACATCGCAGAGTCAGACAGCAGATGGAAAAAAGAAAAAAAAAAAAAAAAAAAAAAAAAATCATCAGCCTTTCTTGAACTGAAATGCTTCAAACGCTGCACAGTCAGGGTAATAATTGGAAAATGAATGTATTATATGGTGCTATATGCAGCCCTGATTCATCCACTTTACATCACTGTACGTCCCCCTGCTTTCACAGCTCAATCCACCAAATGGCAAAGAGGTCAGGGGTCATTTAGTTGTTATATGCATGTAATACAAGGTGGAAATCTTTATGGTGACACAGTTCCTTTGTGTTTCCACTGATAACTACTAACTGCCTTTTTTTCAAACTCCCCTGTCCTTTCTGTTTGCATAACTGCACCCACTGGGGCTGATTCTTTCTTGAGAACTTGTCAATATGTTGTATTTTGTCCACTCATGTAATGAGGGGTGGGACAAGACAAAAACAAGTATCGAGATTTTTCTGTGAATACTGTGTTATGTGTAACTAATTCCTGTGCCGTGTTGTAGAAGTGTCTGTGCTCCGATACAAGAGCACCTTTCTTAATGTCCTCTGAGTTGAGCTTTTAGACAGTTTCCACAAAAACTGCATTGCACTGCACTCCCTGGTCATCTGGTCACAACGGTATTTACCTGTCTATTCAATCAAACAAATATCTGCCTGCACAGCAGAAAGCTGCCGTCTCCAACCTGTCTACATGGGCATACTGTGCTGCTCTCAGACAGTCTTTTCAGCGACATTACTTGAAAATGACTGGACGCTTTCAGGGGCAGGACTGTCAGTCTGTAACACTGCGGTGTTAGAGTTTGACAGTCCTTTGTCTTTAATGGCTTTTTTAAGTTTCAGACACAGGTTTCTTCTGGGAAGAAAAAAAAAAGAAAAACTTCTAAAAACTTCTGCTTACTCTGTTCAAAGACGACAGGATCTTTACAGATAGAGTCACGACGCCCATGAGATATTTGGTATCTGGCAACAAGCAAAGATATTATTCACGGCAAAACGGTCTTGATTTCTCATGCAAGTGTGGGGTTAGAGCAGCTCTCCCAATTCTGGAGAACATACACAACTATGTACACAAGAATGTTATAATCTTGGGAATGCTTTTACTGGCAATATTAAATCTTTTATTCATATATTCATGCTAAGAAAATGTTACTTTGTCCTTACTAGGCAGATTGCCAGGGTATGTTTTGCAGAAAAATGGCTGAACGATTAAGCCAACAGTTAAAATTGCTGTATTTACAAATGATTCTGTGCTTCTAAGATGGGTTATTAATGTCTGTAAAGAGACTTATGTTAGATCTTAGATCAGATGGACAAAGACAGGCAGCTGTCTCTGTCCTACCAGAGCCAGAGACGCAGCATGATACAATTTAATAATCCAGAGCCAGGGTGATAATGTGATTGAGAAGACAGTGAGACAAAACGTCCATTGTATAGCTCCCAGGTAAGTAAACAGACAGGTTTGAAATAGGAAGTCAGTCCCTGTTGACAGAGAGCAGTCATGGCAGATAAGCTGAGACGGATAATTGTCCTATCTGATTCAGCATCTATATGAGCGTGTGGAGTGTTCGCTTATTGTAAATCAGCAGGCAGCGGGAGAATTATATTTCTGTCAAGGCCTCAGAGGCAAACTGCAGAGTCGTGATGCTGCTGCCGTACCTGTGGTAGTTGGGGGAAAGATAATTCATTATCTCTGCTTAGGATGCTTCTCCTCAGGGGGGTTGTTTTACAGTTCTCTGACAAAAGTTTGTCTGTTTGCAGGTATCATGCCCCGTCTTTTTTTTTTTTTTTTTCCCCCGTGCATTTTCTCTCATCTTCATTTATCTTAGAAAATGGCAAATGAACAGACGGCGTAGTCACATATGCTGAGGGACAGCAAATGAGCCCCCAAATAGGCAAAATTCTTATTTTTGCTTAATTACTAACTGAGAGGGAAAGGTCAGAGAGTGAAGAGTAATGCTGAACCTAATTATCCATGGAAATAAACTGCAGACCTAAGGCATAGTCTTCAGTATAACTAGGTGTTTTTGAGTGTGTAAGAATGTGTATGATTGTATGTGTAGCAACTGATAGCCACTACAAAAGCTCTTATCTACAAAATGAAAAACACATACTTAGAAAGCGGGAGAAAAGGAGGAGGAACTGGTGGTGAAGGATGTTTCAACTGGCAGTGATAAATGAATAAAAAATGATGCTGAAATTGGGACTTATTGGTGTCACTGAGATGATGATTAGATGCATCACGGAAATCTGCTGAGATTATTTTTAGGGCACACTAAAACCATAACCCTTTGCAGTTTTTCAGTAAATAAACAGAACGGATTGGTAAGAAAATAAAAACACCCCAGCAAAATGTGATAAAAAAAGGAAATAAACAGGATTCTTTTTCCCAGGGTAAATATACTGTTCATATTGAAACTTAGACTTGCATGACACAAATAAATTCAATGCCAAACTGAATTATTCCTGTTATACTCAATTATCCAGGGAAGTGACTTAAAACTTAAAAAAAAAAATCTGCTCCTTTAAAATGTGTATTTGCTCTGCCTGTTGGCATGCATAATGACAGGTGTCTGATGAAAGCACTTTTTTAATAATATTCATTAAATAATTGCTCAAGTTCCTCCCTTCCCCCTAAGCTAAGAGAGCATGTGTGTTCTGTTGAGTGGGTCTTTGTCTAAGCATTCATTACCAATGATTAACACCGCATCTTTCTCTATGCCTCTCAGGAAACATGGTGAGCAAGGAGGGTGGCAAATGCATGCTCACCAACTCAGAGTCTGACTCGGAGGCAGCGCCCTTGCCCTCCACCTCGCTGGCGCTGGAGGTGAAGTATTCCCTGGAAGCCAGTCGACAGGTGAGGAAGAGAAACAAGGCCCTGCAAGTGCGTTTCAAGGATATCTGCGAGGCACAGAACGAGCAAAGGGAGGCAGAGTTGCAGGCAGCGGGGAAAGGTGGCAAGCCGATCTCATACAAAGTGGCATACCGCAAGTACATGACTGTCCCTGCACGCAGATCCATCCCTAATGTGACAAGGAGCACAGGCGTGCAGACGTCCCCTGACCTGAAGAAACGCTATCAGACCTTTCCCTTTGACCGCAAAAAAGGCCACACTTTTAAAGACGTAGCGGCCGTGGAAACTTATAAAGGTCAGAATAACGGTTTTGTCATGGAGGTGAAGCAGTCCAAGCCTGCTGAGCAGGGTTTAGATGAGGAGGAGGAGGAGGGAGCCTGCGGGGGGAGTGGAGTCCGGAGGACCAGGGCTCTGCTCCATACTAATGAGTGCATTGCCACAGTGGAGCAGCACACTGCACCTGATGGCCTGTGCTCTGACGCTCTGCTGCTCAGTTGCTCTGCAGACACAGACTGCCTTGCAGACACATCGAGGGGAAGTGGAGCCGGAGCACAGGCAGAGTACCAGCTCTGCAGTGTCCCGTCCAAAGCCAGGACAGGATTACAACACAGGGAGGCCGTTACAGACCGCTCGGCCAAGAGGCAGCTGCTCAATCTGGAGGAGGGCTCGTCCCGGACCCTGCCGGACAGGGCCTCCAAGGTTACGGGCCCCATCGCCTGGAACTCCCTTACACAGGTGGAGTGCCTGGACAGTCCATCTGTGCGGAGCAAGCGGAAGAAAGGCCTGCAGCTCAACGGGCTGCAGAGTGAGACGCTACCACGTTCCAGTGGAGGCTGTACAACACAGGCACAGTGCCACACAGGACAGTTATCTGCTCGGCCTCTACGGGGCATGGAGGAGCCTCTGTCACCCTGTAGAGATGGGGAGGCTGGTGGGGCGCCGCCCGACCAAACACAGGAGGCCTGTAAGCAAATAGTGCCTATGAATCAGGACAAGGATGTTAAAGCACAGCTCCAGGCCATGGAAAATCTCATCAGCTCCAGCCAGGAGACCATCAAGGTGTTGCTGGGGGTCATCCAGGAATTGGAGAAGGGGGAGGCCCACAGAGAGGGGTAAGACATCTCAAGTCTTTTATAGCCTGTGTTTTATAATACGGATGTACCAATCCCAGCCGTTCTCTACTAAATATTCCAATACTTCAACCTTTTCCCCAAATTTAAAATCTATACAGCTTACTGCATGACACTCTCATGGAACACCACTGTACCAGATTCAGTAACTTAGATCGCTGCCTCCCAACTTTACACTGGTATCACTAAAAGTAAACTGGCAAAAAAAAAAAAAAAAAAAGAGAAATGTCACTGACTCTACTAATTATAACTGAGAAAAGGGCCTGGTGTTCACAGGGTTAAGCCAAGGGAACATCAGAGACACAGAACGCATTCACGATTCAGCGTGAACAGGAAAAGCACCCTCTTGATGTGTCACATTATTTCTAGATCTTCGGGACAAGCTTGTAAGTGTGACAGCTGCTCAACAGAGCCTTGACTGAACCACCCAAAGAGTGTCACAAAAAAAAAAGAAAAAAAAAAGAAAAAAAAAAGAGATCACAGTGGCGTGTAGCTGGGATGATGTGGCTTTCACCTGGATGTGCCCCGTCGTGCTATTACAGCACAATGTCCTTTTATGATGATTTCCCCTTTCAGATATGGCAGAGCTGCTGAAGAGAACGTATTTAGACAAATCACCTCACTCGATTTGGGTCAAGAAGACCCGCGTACGAGACACGGCCGCTGTGAATGCAATCACGAAGACTGGGATGTGTCAGACATGTTTTTGCTAATTTGGATTGAAACTAATTTAGCCACTGAATGCATTAGCATGTGTAGTGTAGTATGTGTGTAAGATCATGCAGAATTAAATGTTGAGTATGTCTCAATATGGGAACTTAATTACTTTTGATGCTGAAAAAATGAATATCATTCTCAAATTACTGAGTGACACTTTCTTTTATTGATTAAGGAAAATACTAAACAAGACAACAATTGGTCTTATCCAGCTGCACGCTGTAATGTTTATCTAGTAAGTCCAAGGTCTTTGAAAAAGCCATGGCCTGTGAAAAAGCCATTTACTGTCCAATGGATACTGAGTATATACAAAAGGGCTGCAGATAGCATCAAGCCAGCTGAAATAGAGGATTGTCTTTCCAAAGGGATGAAGCAAACAAAATGGCCAATTTGTCGAGTGAATTGCTGGGCCTCGCCACTCAGATCCCTATCTGTTCTGACCAGCGCTGTGGCAAGGTACGGAGCGAGAAAATCCTTATAATCAACGTCATAGCGAGCTAGTTCAAACCCTGTGAGAATTACACACACATACGCGCACGCACACACCCGCTCAGACAGCTGTCAAGCTTATAAGAAAAAGCACACACAAGAACAAATTCTTCAAAGTGTATGAAAACAACTCTCAATATCAACCTGACAGAACGACAGGTTGAAACTCCCATTCAACAAGGATCGAGGAAGGAACAAATCTTACAATAGTCTGAGTTTACACCACCTAAAAAGAAAGAAAGAAGAAAAAAAAAGCCAATTATCCTCTTTCAATCTTGCACAAGGCAGACTTATTCTCCTTATCGACAAACTCATAAAAGTGTTTTGGGAGTGAAAAAGTAAGCGGACATGTGGTGCAGCATGGGAAGCCACGGCGCCATGTGTTGCAAAGCACATCTGGCTTATCAGATGTGTCTAAAGTGGCAGGCGGGGGAGGAGATCTTAGAAGAGGAGAGGAGAGGAGAGGAGAGGAGAGGAAAATCAGTGACTGCTCTTTAATGGTGCCATCTGGTCACATACATAAAGAAACAATCACAATGTGTTTCCATACATTAATTACAGACGCCTACATTTAGTTAAAAGTCAGTGAGCAGTGTAAGCCCCTTGTAATCCATCTAAGCCCAACTGAACCTCCACTTCTGTACATGAACACCGTCTTCTCTACATATTTCCAATTCCCAAAGTTGGATTTTCGAGTGAGCCAAGCAGAAATTCTAATGCTGCTTTAGTCACACTACATTAGCTTCATACTCCCCTTACATAAATGTCACTGACACAACAAATAGGATTGCCCACAGGCTATAGGTGAATTGTGAGTGCAATTACATCTGATATATAACTGCTTATGTTCTATGGCATTCATTTTTCATGGAAGGAAATGCAATGCTACATGCATTTATCACCACGCATGTGTTCATGACATGCTGCTCAGACACAAATTGAAATTCCCTGAGTAATGTGCTGAGACTGGGAAAAAACATAATCCTGCCACACAAAAAACACACACACGAACTTTAGAAAGAAAAAAGAGAAAGAAAAAATAAAAGAGTGTAATATACCATTTATCTCTGCTGAACTGAAATTAAAAACACTCCAGATCAAAAAGTCATTTCAAGTAGAGACTCTCCATAGTAATGATCCTTAAATTTCACTTTTATTTCTCCACTGTTCCCCTGATTGTAGTGACATCAGGAGGAAAACAACAAGTCTGTGGAATGGAAAAAGTGGGAGAGAGAGAAGGATGGAGATGGTCCCTGAAATAATTTTTACCACTGAATAATAAGATTTCAAAAATAAAACCTCACAAAGCTTTTGCAAATTCAGCCACTGAAGACAAACCATCACACGATAGTTGGTCAATACATGTAAAATTAAGCCAGAATCCAACAATGAACTAATGTAAACTGCTAAATCAGAATTTTCGGCTCTTCATTTCAGTCTTCACTTCAGTTTCTCACTGAAGTGTTCTGTCGTATTTATACTTGACTTCTGCTCGTCACCTTATGATACCGACTCACGGTAGCCGCTGATCTGACTTGAATACATAGCTGCTCAGAGGGTGAATTATAACCTCTTAAAACATAAACACAATGATGGCCGAAGCTATTGTCATACGACAATCACCATGTCTGTCAGAGGAGAAATAGCAGACAGTCTCTAGGTACAAAGACTTGTCCCTTTGACTTTTATAAAATATCAAGACAGTTTCTAACATAGTTACTCAAAGTAACTTTTTTTAAATTTTCTTTTTACTAATGATAGTTTCATGCCCCTCCGATAACTGGAGGTACCGCAAATGTAAATTACTGCACATCGTCTACGCAGAAAATGAGCGGGCATCCAGTCCACAAAACAACTTCCTGTTTTCTGCTCGACGGGAACAGAGACAGTTATAGAGGAAAACGTCTAGAAATCGAGCATGTGAAAGAAAGTGAGGGAGTGCGTCAAGAAGGGTGAGGCTATATCTCATTTGGTTATCATATTATTAGAAGTTTCCAGATTATATGAGAAGCCCTTAGCTCTGTTTCCCTGGAAGAAATAGGAGTTTAGAGCACAGTGACTTACTCAATGTCCCCACACAACGCGAACACACACACACACACACACACACACACACACACACACACCTCCTTGAACTACAGCCCTGCCCTGGGCATGCAACACAGTGTGAAGGGTGCAATGCAGCTCTTGACTAAACCATTGGTTGCATCCAACGGCACAAAGCTCGGGAATAATTCTGCTGTATCATCAGCCACTGTTGGCAGGCCAGATCCAATTAATCACACTCATGGGGGACTTGTTGCTAGTCTGTCTATTAACACTGTGTATGTGTGCATGTTTTTATGCCTTTGGACTCCCACCCACTCAGTGACCTTTGGGAGAGCTCACCTAGTAGCACAAAGGTGGGAGGGTGTAAAAATATACTGTTAATGGCACTTTTGGCTTCGCTCCCCCCAGGGAGGCTTTGCCGAAATTAGCTCTGCTCTCTTATTTTCTCTTATCAACTCAGTGTGACAGACGGGTGGGGAGGGACCAGAGGTGGGGGAAGAAAGATCTAGACAGCATGGGGGCGAGATATAGAGAGAATAAGGATGAGCTCTTCAAAGGATGTGATCCAGTTGCCCGTGGACCCGCTTATCGATCGACTCATCCGGGTGGAAAGTGGCTTTGTGGTTTTGTGGCTTTGACCTTCCCCGCTGCACTGTCACCCCCTCTCCAAGGGCAAGCCCCTTAATGGCAATTAACCCGAGCTGCAATCTTCCAAGTAAATTTCTTCATATCATTGCACTGATCCTCGTCTTAGATTCTGCCCATTACTTCACTCTGCTACAGCCTTAAATAACAATATTGATATTAGCACATCTAATATACCTGTCAGAGCATATAGCCCAGAAAGGAGCAGATAAGGAGCGGAAATTTATGATAGGTTTAATTTTTATTGGTGCTGCACCTTATGGGCAGTGTGACAAGAGTCCCTGAGAGAGATTTGAAAAATGTCTCTGCTCCTGCAAAGACGAAACTAAATGTGAAAGTTAACACATTAACCTCAAAGCGAAGAATCAAGGTGATTTTCATAACCATGTTCATTTTGAGAAACCTCGATTTATGACACTGACAGTTTGTGAGAGAGGGTCAGTTCACACAGGAAAGGCAAACAAATGAACCAAAAAACATTTTCTCACTTAGCTCGAGTGGTATCTAGCCGCCGTGATTTCTGCCTCATATGTAAAATTCAACAGTAACATCTCTCTGCCGAAACAGAGCCCACATTACTGTGGATAACACTGGGAACAGTTTTTCAGTGTTTACCCAGAGAAACCACAACATTGTTTCTGGAAAGTCAAGTCGCTGTTCATTCTTTTTAATGTAGTATTTCATTGCTGTGGGCACCATAATTGAAAATGCATTGACCACCGTTATAATGGGGTGAAGGCAGATATCTCAAAAACAGATATCTCAAAATCTGGGCAAATAAAACTTACTAATAATACTTCAGACATTGGAAAAGTGATCATGTTATGACAAAGTCAATGAGCAAATACTTGGGAAATGCTGTCAACAAATTAAAAACTTCTTTAATAGGAGGATGAGGATGGGTGTATTTGGTAGCTATTATGTGTGTCTCCATATAACCAACTGACTGTGAAGGAGAGTGGCTGATGAAAGATGCTACCTGGATAAGTAACAGCTACTAAAGGCCCGACATCTGCACCGGGTTTACAAGACTGTTTTCTGTTGATGCAGCAGTGCAGGTCATAACCATAAAACCCAACCAACAAAGCATTTCCATCTTGTCCGTGTCATCGGTTAAGTGAGTCCACAGTGTGTCCACTGTAATATGTCATAAATTACAAGGAGAAACACTTTAGTGTCAATCAATATGCACATTCCCACATGCTAATCCAATACGAAAGCCATTGAGCCTTTGAAGCATGTAACCTAATGGATCCATTCATGACCATAACCTGCTCTTTAGCTGCCCCTTGAGGAATAGAGATCTATAATGGGAACTAGGTTCATGCCAATATTTTATCTCAGTGACAACCAATGATTGAACAATATCAGGACACACGCAATGTAATATAAAAGGATATTGATTGGTCTGAATGTGAATTCAGTGAATCGATATCACAATGAAATTAAGACGGGCTGACTGTGTAAAGCCAAGTGGCTGCTGTCCTAAACAAAACTGTCAAATTTTATCTCCTCAGAGGACACATTTAATCTCCAAATGATTCTGTTTTTTTTCCCTCTAGGCAATAAATGGTTAGAATAAATGTTCATACTGGAGATAACTCTAACTGTATGCTTTACAATGCTGTCCTCTACAGAACGGATTCATCAACGGCTGGATTTCTCCTGTATTTCTCTCATATCAACTGGGAAAAAATAATTAAAGACTAACTGTTGGTGTTTTGACTTAAAGTCAACTTAATGATTAGTTCAAATTTATCAATAACTGCTTTGATAATAAATCAATCATTAGTCAATTTTCAAGAAAAAATGGCAAATCTTCTCTGGGTCGAGGATTTGCTGCATCTCTCAGTTTTATATTATTGAAGTTGAGCGTCTTTGTGTTTGGCATTTCTCTCGTATTTCAATATGCAATAATGAAAATAATCCTTATATGCACCCTAACTTTTTTTTCTGTAGAGTAATTGTTGTAAATGTAACAATCCTGAATCAACTCCCTGATGAAAACTACCTTTCACTGCTGCCCTGTAGCACTTTGCCTTATCTGCCCTCCAATCAGTCAACCACAGCTAATGGCCGACACAGCGCCCTTTCTGCCCTGGCTGCCGGACACGGGCCACTCATGGAGGGCAGCGTGACTCCTCATCACCCTCATTTACTTCGGTCCTACTAACGAGGGATGACAAACAAGATGAGAAAGGAAGGTGTGAGGGAGCAGCTTAACAAGTCCTATAATTACTCATTCACGACTCTTATCTCCCCCGCAGACTCTCCTATCGAACCGGACAGGACACGGCCAACTGTGACACATGCCGGAACAGCGCATGCATTATTTACAGGTTAGTGGCCATTACTCTTCAAAGACATGATGATCCAAATGTGCCCTGTTCTTTCTCCTTGAGGGGGAAAAAAAAAGGGCAGGTGGAAAAGGGTGGAGGGCAGCGGGGCAGGTGATGCAAGACTAACGTGGATGCTGTTAATGAGCACTTGGGGACGTGTGACATTTACACATCACACTCTCTTCTGAATCTATACATCTTTGTCCGACTCTCCTATTGTCACTTCACACCCCTTTCTTAACTGAAGGCGGCTCAGCAGGTGTAGCGTGAGCCAGACACAGAGACAAAAGGGCACATGCTTGAGAAGTAAGGGGGATGCATAACTGTGGAGTGAGTGAGAACAGGGCAGCGAAAGGTGAAATTAATTACCGTCCAGACATCATGAAATATTATCACTGTGTGCTGTTGCCAAGCCAACTGAGCCTCTACTATATTTTCAAATTCAGTTCAATTTATTTGACAACCAGCACAGACTCGAGTCCAGAGTCATTAGTCTACCAGGGTACATAGTTGTCTCCTTATCAAGGATGTGTGTGTAAATATTTTGCTGCCTGGTCTTCTGTGTGTGAATGTGTTTATGTATGTGACACAAATAGTCGATCAAAATTAACTGGCATCACTCCTGAAAGTGATTTGGTTTCATTAGCTTATCAAACAAAATGAATTGCTAGCTTGTTTGATGGGAATCTTTTACTTTTTGGTGATTAATTAAGTATTGGACAAATTAAAAATTAGGCCTGATGACGATTCTGGATAAAAGTCAGAATATCATCAAAGTCATTAGAATTTATCCTTGAATATCTGAAGCAAATTTCACAGCAATCCATCCAATAGCCATCGCTCTGAACTGCAAATGTGTCCCTCACAGAGGAACTAGAAGAAAGTCATTAGCATGCGTCCTCAGGTAACCATGAAGGTCTGTACAAAGTTTCTTGGCAAACCATCCAGTAGTTGTTGAGAGTCTGGACTTAAATAGTGACCTAACTGACGCCATGGCGATTCATAAACAGATGGTTTAATCGTTTAACAAAAATAGCCATTAGTTACAGCCCTAATGTGAAACCGTGTGGGGTCAGTTTAAAGTTTGCAGTCAGTGGCTCTGACCTATGACAGAGCCTCGCAGGTCCCGACACCTCTGTCAGACTTCCTCTTTGAAACACAGTGACGCTGACAGTCTGAAGGCCCCATGAGCGCTCTTTGCTCACAGCTAGAACTGCATGTCGCAGCCCTGAATGTGCAAATGTGTGTTTTACCATTTCTCTGTTTGTTGCCCAGAAAAAAAGTTTGATTTCAACAGTCAAAATAGAACAGGAGGGAGGAAAAAAAGATGAGAAAGAACAGAGATTTAAAGAGTAGATGGGTGAGAGGCGATCAATAAAACTGTTTTTAGTGGACACTGCTGTTCCACTCAGTCGGCATTTCGCCTCTGAAGAGACATTTAAATCATTTTCTATCTGCTGCTCTCAATAACTGATAGGCCTTTGGACAAACTTCAATAGGCTCCTGAAAATGAAGGAGCGGGGCACAGCTCCTGCTCCCTCTGATGTTTGAGCTGAGGAAGGTGCATCTTGTCGTAGAGGCGGAGTGTGTTTAAATCGCGGCAGGTCCACCGCGCATAGCTGCAGGCTGGACAACAGGAAAGGTGGATTTTACAATGATTCAATGTCAGCAGGATGAAGTGAGATGAGCTGGATGATTGCATGTGATGTGAAGGACAATGGAAGGGCATAAATAGCTAAGAGGCAATAGGTTAGACACAGGGTTAAAGGATGGATGAAGTAGGACAAACTGCTGAGATGGGACCTCGTCCAGTATTATAAATTAGTCAGCACCATGTTTAATGCTAACTCTGTGTGATTTGGACCCGGGGAAGAGAAGGCCCTGCTCCCTCTGGCCTACCTATCGTCCATCTACACTCTGCCTGCCTGAGTAAAAACCAACCGTGCTTACCCTACTGTGCAAGCCTCTGCAGACTCCAGAGACATTCACTAACCATCTCTCCAGATCTGCGAGCACCAGCTACAGCGTGATAACACATTTAAATTTTAAGAATATGAGCAATTCCATTCTCTGTCTCTCAAGATATTCTTGGCAGTTCAGAGTGTGCCTATACTGATCACTGGCGTGTAGGGAAAGGTGTTTCATTTATATAGCTCCATGACCTGAAATCCCGATGAGGGGTTTAAAATATGCAAAATGCAGGCTGCAATAAAAGCTATGATTAAGTGTGCCCATTTGAATATGAGCCAATTATAAGGACGTGTCAGCAAGTGGTCCAACATATCTGTCTTATCTACATTTTTCTAACCTGAAAATCCCCATGGAGAAACTGACAAAGTCACCGACAAAGTCATTTCAGACTTGTCCCCATGACTTGGTCTGCGCTGATCGTGCACACACACACACACACACACACACACGACAGCTGTCTTCAAACAGGCGCTATATTAACATCAAAACTCCACATTCGGCTTCCCTAGATCTGCCACAATCGATTGAAACGCTTCATCTGCAGGAGGAAGAGCAGAAAAACAGAAACTCAATACAAAATAAAACGCTAATTTTTGACAAACCTTACCAGCACCTGGCAGGGTTTCAAGTTGATAAAGGGCAGAAATTTTCTAAGTGAGATGTTTGAAATCTGTTAAATTGACCTGAGTTCTCCTTTAAGAGACTCGCTTGGCATGGTAAATTGTGTTGATTGGACACAGAATCAAATATAGCAGTTGTATTCACACAGGCAGGAGGATTAAATGGCAATCTAATTACTTAGATCTCCATGAAAACAACCTCTCTGGAGGTGGAGGAACACAGGATACGAAGCAGAACCATGCAGGAACACACAGTGTACGTGGGGAGAATAGCTGTCTATAATACCTATTAGGATTTTTTTTTTTTTTTTTCCTGAGCGTGTTGGTGTCTTCGTGCCAGGGCCAAACCCCTAACTCTTGTGTTTATGATGAAGCTGGTCTCGTGGCCGGAGTGGACATATGGGTCCATAAATCATTTTAACGCGGCCCGGTAAGGAGCCAGCCATGCACTCTTCAGCATAATCAATTTGTCCAAGAGTATATGGCATCATCTCAGAGCCCATCCTTAGCATAACAACAGCACCAGATCAATATGGTGCTGTAGTCTATGGGCATGGACTTCAAACAGAATACACAAGCTGTTGTAGTCTCTCGTCCTTGTCTGGTCCCGCTTTCCTCATTTTGAACTATCTTGAACTCGGTCTCTCTCTCTTTCATCCTCCCTCAACTTTCTCTCTCTATCTCGTCGTTTCTCCAGAATATGTTATCTCTCCCGAACAGCGAGCAGTGTGTGTTCAAATGAACTTGGGGATTCAATGCTTAATACAACGCGCATGACATTGAAACAGAACAGGCGAGAAAGGGATGAAAAGATTATTGCAATTCATTCCATCTTGCCAGGTGATGTAATATCTGTTACTGAGAAAGGTGGGGACGGAGGGGGAGGAACAGTCAGAGAATACAGCATGAGAGACAAACAGAGGAAGACGGCTGGATAGGAAGAACACGGAGAGACAGGACGGCGCAGAAAAGCCGTGGATTTGAAAATGTTTCCAGACCACAGGCATTGAGCCGTGATGCATCTTGACGCAGAAAACCCCATAATCTCATTTTCCTCACGCTGCATTTATGTGGGCTAATGTGCTGATCAAACAGGGAGATAGATTTAAGTAGTTGTGATTAAGGAAGTCGATTGTGGACGCCCCCACCACCGGGTACTATTGTTCACAATGGACTACAGCTATTTCCCCATTGGTTTACTTTTGTCACTGGCTTGAATTTAACTCACTGGGAACAGCAGCTGATCATTAAACCTACCTATCAGATGGTAAAATATTCTTTAAATAACACTGTGCAGCGCAAATAGATAATAAAAAAAATCAACAAGGGAATGGGTATTTAAGAAGAGGAAAAAATCTCCAATATATTGTGCAAGGCTATGAAAATCAATTAAGCGTTGCTAAAGGCTGAAGAGCTGATTACATTATAACATATGGAAATTACTGAGCAGCAAGACTGTCCTACTGCACGACTCTGCTGGGGGATGATATCTCTTTTTTTTTGTGCGAGCATAATGATGTTTTCCAACATGGTGGCAAGCTAGTTACCATAGCTACAAGAGTGATCCTTGGGTAGGACAGATTTTGTGAAGGGACAGTGAGGACAGTCAGGAAGAGCACATTCACACCCGCCGAAGATAAGGAAACAAAGACGGAGGCAGGGTGAGAATGTGAAACAGGAAGACAGACAGAGAGAGAGAGAGAGAGAGAGAGAGAGAGAGAGAGAGAGAGAGAGGACGAAGGAGACAGGGAGCGATGAAGACTCACAGAAGTTTATAGTGGGGTAAAGGGCAGGTGAGAGGTGTGTATTGCAATGAATACTTTGAAGTAAGAGGTCAGGCGTGGCACGGGGAATGGACAAGTTTCTTTTCTTGTACGTACACTTTTTTTGGAGAGCAGGAACATGACAGGAAAAGGAGTGGGAGTGAGTGAGAGAGAGACATAGCGAGACTGAGAACAAGTGGGTGAGAGAGGTTAAAGACTGACAAGGTCCAAAGTGCCTTCTTCAATTTGTTCCGATCCAACAACCCACTCAGGGGAGTGGCAGCGAGGGGACAGGAAAATGCCAACAACGCTTCACTTTTTCACTTTCACCAAAAAAAAAAATAAATAAATAAATAAAAAATCAAAAAATCAAAATATGGAGTGACACAGCAGCAGGGCCCGTGACAGTTTCATAAGGAGATGCTGATAACTGGGCCGGGTAGAGACTAATAAATCTTTCATTAAAAGGCCTTTTGAGTACGTTTCAAAGATGAGATGATTATCTTTTCACTCGCCGTTTTTTTCTTCTTTTTTTTTTTTCTAAAATGAAGTTATGCAGATTTTTTTTTTTTTTTTTCCAGTGACATTTAAGTTTTCCTTTCTTTGCTGTTCCCTACCCACAGGCCAGTTCACCTCTACTTTGTCT